ATTGATTGCCATTTAATTCCCATAGTACATCCAAATAATAAACTTTAAGCGCTAAGACATCAACTGTTCTTTATTTGTTGTGTGGAAAGTGTTTATATACCTTAAATTCATAATCGTTGTAGTAGCGCGATTTCAACCACTATATACTTACGTGTTTGAAATGGATAGGGTTTCGACTCTGGCTGAGCCTCTGGTTCGTTTTTCTAAGGATTCTGTACATTTTATTAATCGATGTACAAAACCAGATCGTAAAGGTGAGCATTAATTTTCGAAAATCTTATTCGTAGAATTTAAAAAAAACGCTATTGCTACTGCAATTGGATTTTTGGCCATGGGCGTACTCGGATTTATTATCAAATTAATTTTCGTCCCCATTAACAGCATCATTGTTGGAAACTAATGATAATTCTTTCTTAAAATGTAATTTTTGAGTTGGCATTTGTAATCTACAAACACTGAACATAATATACCATTTTGTTTTATTGATTCGTCTTAAGTACTGCTCAGTTACCATTATCTACTGTTATTAGTTTGGCCAACACTTCTTAATTTATAGGCCGAGCAATTTGTGTGAATAAAGCACATCTGAAACTGAAACAGTGATGTTTTACCATCCTCGAAACCATTACATTTTTGGACATAACATTTGGAAATCCCTTGGTGAACTCCTCGTATTCTTGTCTTCCCCTTTATTATGAGTTGTGTTGGTGCTGCTTTAACGAGTTTGTAAGATCAAGTCAAAAATGCTACTCAATGTAATCCCCACCCAGGCTGTGCTACTCTGTAACTCAGTTGCGAAGTAATTTGTGAGCCTGATTGTACTGAATTTCTCAGATGTACACATCTTGTTTTGTGGAACATAACTTGGATGTTTAGTTCAAGCCGTCAGAAATCTACGGAATGACTTCACGGATTATGAAAGTCACGTCGATTACCCCCTTGGTCTAGTTTGTTTGAATCCCGTTTTTTTAACAATATCGTTTAGGACAAACGTAAGTAAAATGTTGCATCGAAGTCTCTCGGCTCAAACACAGATATCTGGTTGTTCAGCGTGACTCGGTAATGCACAGCATAGAACATCACGCGTCTGTTACTCGATTGGTTTACTTCACTTTAAATTTAAGAAGTAAATTAAGCTATATGTAACGCATAGAAAAAGAACAAATAGCGTCAATGATGGTGATAACTAAAGTTCGATTAAGTATTACGAAATAGCTGGTGAAATGGGGTTACGAAGGTTGGAACATTGGCATCAAGATGTAAAGAATTCAAGCATAGTCGTTTCACTGACTACTTAAATTCATATCATCCAGTGTCGAGTTACTAATTACTCAGACTCCAAATAGAGGACGTGTCTCTAATTAGTGGGTCACAAGCTAGATAAACGTTTTATTCATATACACCTGAGCTCTGCAGGTTTTTGGCGATCGCCTAATGGCAATGTCTTTTGATGCGGAACTAGGCAACCAAGTTCGAACTCCTCAGTGACCAGTCAATATAATTTTTGTTCTTGTTTATTTTAAGACAAACATTGGTACAGTGAGGCACCAAACAGGTACGCTCTACATAAATTATTTGATTTGTGTGGGGGTTGTCATACGGCCCGTGTGCCCAAACCTAGGCAGGTAATTTTCTTAGGGGACCACTCCCCTAAGTGGATCTTGAATCTCAGGGGCTGGTACTATGTCAAACCCGCATAGTTTATTCCAGCTTCCGAACAGACTAGTTTATCCATTCTTCCCGAGACACATCTTTTCTTTGTTACTTATTCGCTTATTAACCCTGGTTGTCTTTATTTACGTGTGTGTTAATTACTTACTCTATTCATTGTGTCTGTAACTTATTTTTGCTTGATTATAAATATTGATTCACGGTTGATTAAATGGAGTTGGCCCTTTGCCTCCATCACTGCACGTTATCAAGTTTCGTTTCGCCTCCTTCACTTCGTCTCACTGTCTGTTCAGATCACCGATTCGGCATCCGGCAATGGTGGTCCTTCTTGACTTGAAAGCAGCATTTGACTCTTTAGACCGAGAGGTTCTGTAGCAGTGTCTGTCATTCAAAGGTGTACCTCAAAAGTACATAAACCTTGTGAAGGCTCTTTACTCGAACACTACTAGTCGAGTCAAAACTTATGGCGAACTGTCATCTGATTTTTCAACCTCAAGTGGTGTCCGGCAAGGCTGTCAACTATCTTCATTTCGGTTCAACTTCATCATAGACAACGTTCTCGTCGATTTAATTTTCGGGCATCGATCTTGTATCAGGAGGTCCATTTATCGACTTAAAATACGCAGTTGACATAGTCCTGTTTGGTGAAGACGCTGATAAAATGCAGTCTTTTCGTAGCACTGAGCAACAATGCCAGGATGCGTTCCCCCCCCTCTAGATGCAAGTTGTTGATTCAAGACAGGCTTGTGTCAACACCTGAACTAAGGATGGGGAGTGAAGTAGTCGAACGTGTCGACAAATTCATTTGTCTTGGAAGTCTGATCAGCCCTAATGGGTTGGTGTCTGAAGAAGTCTCAGTACGGATCCGAAAAGTTCGTTTGGCTTTCGCCAACTTGCATCACTTATGGCAAAGGTGAGATATCCGCCTGCCAATTAAGGGACGAGTATACTGCGCGGCAGTTCTTCCTGTTCTTCGGCTGCGAAACGTGGCCATTAAGAGTATAGGATGCTTGTAAGCTACTAGTACTCGATCACAGATGTCTTATAAATATTGCTCACATCTGCTGGGATCACCGGGTAAGTAAAAGTGAGGTTAGACGCAGGGTATTCGGGAATATGGTAAATCAGCTGATAATGTTGTAAATCTTCATCGACTGAGATAGTTGAGCCACTTGTTACGTATACCCAAACACCATTTACTACGACACGCAATGCTAACCGGTGTTGGGGATAGTTGGAAGAAAGTTAGAGGGAGCAGCCAAACCGAAGTGACACCAGTCCATAAAGTAACTAACTTCTAGTCTGAGCCATGTTGGTAGATGAAGACTACTTGGTTGGGATCCGCGTGACTACCGTAACCAATGGTTGGAGACTCTGGGTGACATGGCTCAGAATCGACCACAATGGCATCGGTGTATACACTCCTTGTCATCCTTTAAACCGTGAGGTCAAAGTTACTTAATGTTTTTTCCTGCACTATATCCTTGTACACAATCTTTTATATATTACTACCATTGAAGTAACTGCTTCTATGAATGCGGTGTTCATCTTGTGCTGGTGGTGTGGAAACTTGGACCGATGCATACATATGCCTGGTCCTACTATGTAGCTGACTGACTGACCATCGTAAGAAATATATATTATTATTAGCTTATTATATTATATTTTTGGTACAATATAGAATTCTCAGCGCAAAGTATTTCAACAGGTTTCCGTTTCTTTCTTCTTGGTCGGTCCTGGCGATAAATATTGAGTGGTCGCCAGTTAGATGTTAACAGTCCAGTAAATGAACATCTGAATAATGTACATTTTTTTTCGTTGTATATTGCCAGCAACTACATTCTCTCTTATTGATCTTTTTGTAACTTTGACAACGAAAGGTTGTACACTTTTTAGAAACGCAGCAGAATAGGTTATGCGATTAATAGACATAATGATATATTAAAACAAACAAAAATAGATAACTTGTTGGAATATTTAGATGGCAGGAACAGGTAGCCCAGATGCTCAAGCAGGCCGCCTTACATGTGATTCAAAATCCAATCGCGTATTTGGCTTAGTTAAATCCGTTATTCAGTGACGCAATTTAGGTCGATGATTACATACGAGGGTAGTCGGGATGTATATTTCAATAACAATCGGCGTACGACTTAAATGGAGTCAGATAAGGGCCATCAAACCATATCCACCAACCCGGTTAAAGCGCCCGGACATTCGCGTCTAGTCCTCTCATTTTAGTAAACACCCGCGCTGGAAGAAGGGAGTAGTTGTATACGCGTGGCCATGTGAGAACATTTTGAGAGGAAGATCTAATTCTCCCCACCCTTGATCGTGCCAGGGCATCTGGAAGCATTATAAAGGCAGATATATGAGAATCAACGCTTCGCAGAACAGCTAAGAATATAATGCTGATTTTATTACGGGTATTCCAAAAGCGTAATTTCTAGAAGTTGATTTTGTACAGAATATGGTTGACAGGTAATTCCCCTTCGATTGATATTAAAACTTGATGATACAGAAAAGATATTGAGAAAGAGTGAACTTCTAACCATTAGATTGTTTTTGGTTGGCATTAACATTTACAAAAAACAGGTTAATCCTACAATTTCTCATATTCGATATTAAGAAACAGTTGTGATATACATTGAAATAGTATTACTAGTTGGAATTTTGTATTGATTATGTTAAATGACAGCTTAACATTCTTCAAATTAGCATGTATTCCCGTTCCTTAAACTTAAACATCTTTCTATCTTTTATTTTTCGAGTTCATTCATTCTTTTTTTTAGGATGTATTGTCTATTTAACTTTTTCACTATCATTTAAAATACTATTCTTTCAATTTCTTTAGAATCCCCATCCTATTGATTTTTCATTGTATTGTAAGGTGATGACAACTTAATGACGACGAAATTCTTCTATAGAACCTACGTTATTTTACAATTTAACATCATTTTATGGAATTGATTTTTAAATGTAATCTAAGTGTCAAATATAGTTATGTCAGTATAAATTCTATAAATCGAATACTACTACATTTCAAGATCTACTCAGACTAAAAACATTCTAAAGCAGATATCATAAACATGTTCAAATTTTGTTGGTTAAAATGGACTGACCAGAATAAAGAATATTGTGATTAAACACATTTGAATATTATGTATATATGTAACATTTATTATCGCCTGGAGTCCCCTCCATCCAGGGGCTACTGCCAGTCCCAAGCCCGGATAAAGGAGGAAGGCTGAGCATAGGGTTAGCGACCCCATCCCGTAGAAAAACGCCAACCAAAAAAATATTCAACATTTATTTATGGAAATACATCTTGTTTATAAAATATCAACAATAAAACGTTTTGAAGGTAAACTTTTAAAACCAAAATGTTCACGTAATATGTGAAATGATTTGGACACTTCATTTCGTTTCACATATTCATTGACTGAGTTCAATGCTGCTGCCTAAAATAAATTTTAAAAAATACTAAACGTATATTCATGTAAATATATAACCATTTTAACAGACTTACTTCTTTAATCTTATAAGATTAGAGGTATAAAAGAAAGTTAAGAGCAACGGAACCATTAACTACTATAGGTATCAATGTCAAGGTTGAACTTGATAGTTTCAAATAAATTGAACATTAGATAGAAAGTTAGTAAATATATTTTTCAATAGTTGTGATCATGAATCAATTGAAGCTAGATCACCATAGAAAACCTGGAAGCACTAGGCGGCCATTTCGTCCTATTATGAGACTCCTCAGCAGTGCACATCTACGATCCCCACTAGCAAGATTTGAACCCAGGATCTATCAGTCTCGCACACGAACGCTTAAACTCTATACCCCTGAGCCGGCCGGTATCCAATGGTGTGAATGTCTAACTTTAACTAATCCACGAAATCGATCGACACATCCACCATTGTTTTCAATGAGTTACCATCTCACGACAGACTCGGTTGAACTCCACTGATCACTATTTCTCACTAGAACTCTAGGGCAATACCTCTTGAAGCCAGTAACTAGTGAGCATATGTTGATTAGTATCAGAAGGGATTTTGTGGAGATTGTAGTGATTTAAACAGTTGAGATGATAAGTCAATTGAAGCTAGAACACCATTGATTACAATGGTGGATGTGTTGAAGTGGATTAGTTGAAGTTAGACATTAACACCGTTGGATGCCGGCCGGCTCAGTGGTCTAGTGGTTAGGCGCTCGCGCGCGAGAACGATAGGTCCTCGGTTCGAACATCACGAGGCGGGGTCGTGAATGCCCACTGCTGAGGAGTCGCATAATAGGACGAAATGGCCGTCAAACAATGCTCCCAGGTTTTCCATGGTGGTCTAGCTTTAACTGACTCATGATCTCAACGATTGAAATATATTTTTGTTATATCCCAATGAATAAGAAAATTATCCTGGTGTTTCGTGACCTGATGTGAACCGCTTCTTCACAGTACCTGGCTTACATTAAATCACGAAGCATCAGAATAATTTTTCTACTCATTGGGATATAACAAAAATATATATTCATCATTAACTTTTAGTCTGAGGTGTGTTACTAGGCATGGACTACCTGGTTGGAGTATGTGCAATAATCGTGATCAATAGTTGGAGATTATAGTTAATATAGTTCATAATCCTAAATTCCGATACCTTTTATTCAATGAATCCATCCTCTCCGAACTTTAATCTCCAATGTTTAGCGTTTTCGAATATCGGTAATACTGTTATTTTTTCTACTCGTTAATCATTCATCTCGCTGTGCCGATATATGTACCAGTTTAAACTGATGCTTATTTGTTCATGGCTCTACGTTCATTACAACTGACTGACTTTCTACCTACAAACTTACTGTATTAAGCAAGTCAAAATTAAGTTTTTCAGTCAAAGGCTCAAAAAGAAAATTGCTTCCTTAGGTATCGGGGTTGTTTAGGGCAGTACCAGAATTTTCACACTATCCATGACGACAGGTTTGGGGTTAAGTAGGTCTAGGAATTATGTCAAAGATAGTTGCCTCGCAAATTTAGTGTGATTTATGACCCAGTGCATAAACACCTGCATGAAGACAACTCCCTTAGTAGTCATCGAGAATTTACTACAGTTTACTATAAATAACATGACAATGAAGAAAGCCATGTTATTAGGTTTCACAGACATACTTAAGAACAAGAAGCCATTAACTTAAATAATGAAACTACTCTATAGCATAAAAATAGACAGCACAGTTGTCGGTGGGTATTAGCACAACACCCTATACAATCTATATTATTTATTATTTTAACACATAGATATTGGTACAAGGAGGTACCAAATACATATGCGCCACACAAATCTCATTCGATATGTGTGAGGGCTGTGATACTGCTCGGGTGCCCAAACCGAGGCGGGTGGTTTTCTTAGGGGGCCACACCCGGAGCCTTCGACAAGGCAGTGGAGCATCGTCAGGAGACGCAGCCCCATGGAAGGCGGTGACCAACAATTGGTTCGTACGCCATTTGTTCTCGCAGGATACTGGAGCTTATGTGCACCATTGGTTTGGAATCCGGTTAAAGCGCCGGGTATTCGCTTTTCGTCCTCTCACTTTCTTAAACAACACCCCCGCCACGAGAAGGCAGTGAATAGGACTTCCCTGGCAGAGGCTATATACGCGTGACCATGTGAGAGCATTTCGAGAGGAAGGGCGAACTCTCCCCATTCTCAGCCGTACCAGAGAATATTGTTAAGAACGAATACCTACAAACGATGTTTCTATACTGACACTAGTCGCTTTAAACACTACTAATGAGTTACAATAAACCTTTTGGCAAAATAAAAAACAAATGATTTGTGGGTTAGTCTTGTGATTTTTGTGTATCTCTGTGCGAAGTGAATTTTTCATACTGCAAAAATCATCACGTTGTATTGAATCAATGTTAATAATGATCAAAAATCGAATGTCTATCTATCATTAAAGTACGAGAGTAAATATTGATGGGATTCATCTTAATAATCCACCATAGAGTGTAGTTAACACACTTGGATTTGAACTATTAAATTGCAGATATGAACTATGCTTCAGTTAATTATGCTTGGGTGGCTAGCTGGATAACGTTCTTAGTACTCACTTTTCACATAAAAGCAATGTAAGAAAATACCAAGTACATAACACCTACACTTGGTAGACAAGAGTCATATTAAATGAGAAATTAATTTTGAAAAAATATCCCCATAATTTAATTAAACATACCATTAATACTAGAATATCAAGTATACGTTTTCTATCGTCTAATTGTCGATAATAGTTGAGTGCTTTTAAGAGTTCTGACATATGCATTTGAATAACTACAAGTGAAAAAAAGACGAAAGGAAATAATTATGTCCAAGTTAGTAGATCGATTCAAGTGATAGAGAGAGGTGTGTGGGCGGTGACTAACAACACATGATTACCTACACACTTCAGGAAGAGATTTCTTAACAAAGGATCAGATAGAAGGAAATCGATTTAGTAATGATGCTCTTGTGAACCTGAGAGGATCACCACAAAGATCTAGAGACAATTGTTTTAGAGCGGTTATATATAATTGGTTTTCATTATGTTAGCCTAAAATGTCTACCACTGGGATTAGGAGACCGTGGTGCATGGGAGGGGTTACTATCTTTAGCACCAATCTCTTTCAACTCTTGTTAGTCTGTGGGAAGGCAAGATTACCGAAAATGCTGGGTGTCTGCGTGGAACATTTTAGTGCAAGTAAAGTTAATAGTGAGATCTTCACTTGGACTTTAAATTTAATGCTTTTAGTTTTACCGCTATCCAACCGATGTGACTGGCATGGTGAAAGCACGAAAGACAAGTATTGTAAACTGTATAACTCTATCCGCCTGGTGTGTTAAGGTAACAGCTACGGTCAGTGAATGAATACGCGGGCATCGTGTAATTGGTGAAAGTTTGTACATGTGCCAGTTTTTATATTACGTGAAATGTATTCGTATGTGGTCACAGTGTTTGACAATCTTCAAACAGTGATTCACAGCTACTAGAGTACGTTTTAAACAGACTCGGGAATTGTTATTTCTTTGATTTGTAGCAAGTATATTATCATTTGAATAAAGACTTCACAATATTTAGCATACGTTTTCTACTCAACCGACTGTGTATGTTAGGTATCGAAAGTAAAAAGTGTGATGAGGTTTTAGTAAATTGAATGGTTGCAACAAGTACTCTGTCATGCAGATATCTGTACCGTATTAACTTAAACTGAAGTGTTATACGCGGATGGGTTAATGGGCAAGTACTCTTTTCAGTTAAGCTGACGTTAGGCCTATTGCATTTGTTTAATGGCTACGAATCTAGTCGTATTAGAGACTAGAGTTGAAGCAGAATGAAAAAAACATATATAAGTCGATTGAGGACATAGCATGACTTAATGAGTTCACACACTACAACAACTGTTTTACGGACTGCAACTTGGTTCGCTGATATCAATAGGTTGATAAAATCTACGTTCCACTTAACTCAATGATAGAAAGCTGAAACCAGGAAGACCTAGATTTTGTGTCAGTCAATACTGGTTAGCAGCCAATTGTGTTCACAATCTTGAAGGGATCGATGCTCCCTGTTGGATACTAACTCGAATTATCCAGGATCACTGTACTATCCAGGATTCCACTGATCTTTAAGACTAAATTATTTACACTAACTGATCCCTAAGTTGTTTATCTAGCCCTTGGATCAATAAAATTCGACTGACATTAAAAACTAGGCAACGCTGATACTAATTAATACTCAGTCTAAAATGACCTATTAATGCTAGGAATTCCTTACTATCTGCCACTGACATCAAGTCTAAATTGTAAACATTGTAAATGAGAAGAATATTATTGTCATCATTGTGTCGAATAACTTTTCTATAGTTTATTTTATTTATTTAAACACATAAACATTGGTACAAGGAGGCACCGAATAGATGTGCACCACATAAATTATTCGATTTCTGTGAGGGTTGGGATACTGCCCGGCTGCCAAAACCGAAGCAGGTGGTTTTCTTAGAGGGCGACATCCGGAATCTTCAACCTAAACGTCTAATCCACAAGGCAGTGGAGTAACATCAAGAGATGCAGTCCCATGGCAGCCGCAGCGTGACCAACGGGTGGTTCATACACCATTTGTTCCTTCAGGATCCTGGAGCGCATGTACACCATAGGTTTAAAACCAGGTTTTTCCAACTCCCCTGGGTAGATCCTCCGTATCCAACAAACCGGCTAAAGCGTCGGATATTCACTTTTCGTCCTCCCAATTTCGTAAAAAACAGTAATACCGCGAGAAAACAGTGAGCAGGACTTCCGTGGCAGTGGCCATTTCGAGAGTGAGAGCTGACTCTCCCCACTCTCAGCCATGTATCAGGGCATTTAGTTTACATAAAATAATTAATACAATTAATAAATGTAAATATATACACATATTTACTTACATGAATGATTATTCTCATTGATATCAATTAATAGTCGTGTACGACTCAAAAATACTTGACAACGATATTTTGTTAATTGATCTGTACGATGTAATATCTCTTCTAAACTATTATTCAATTCAAATATGACATTGGAATTTGTTTGTTTCAATCCATTAATCCATAGAGAGGTTGGATCAACATTAATATGATCAATTTTAGTATTCTTGTTATCATGAAGATCATTAGTAGGATTAGTATTCATCATCATATTGTTATTCATGGATAAATGGATAGCACATTGTAATAATTTAATCATTTCAATACCTAAACTTAATCGATAATGTTTACATAATTTCAATGTGATATCAATCTCGTTGAAAGCATATACATAAAGCTTCAATGTAATCAACAATTCAATCTGGCCAAATGTAAGAGATTGTGATATAAAAGAACAAGAAATGGTGTTTATTATTATTATTATAAAACATTAAAAAGACCAACTAACTGACTAAAAAAAATTGCAGTAACCATGATAATGCTCAAATTTTATTGAATATTATTAGACTCCAGTATTGACAGGTGTTTATATCTATCGAAGCGTCCAAGTCATCCGATTGAGATATGCGCGAAACCGAAGTTTCCAAAACAACGATTTGTCTACAATACCCGGTTCTTCATTGAATAATACACTAAATTTAGTTACAAATCTCAACTTGTGAGGTGTCTGGGGCGTTTAAACCCGTCCTTGAAGTATGAAATAAAAAGGCTTCGTGTAACAGTAACATAAAGAATAATTACAACATACGATAGTACAAAGGGCAGCTGATAGCTATGTCTAAATTTGATAACAGTTTATGAACAATCGAAACCCGAACCAAGAGCAAAACAATATGGAAACTGTTGCGTTTAAACAAATGAAACCGCTACAGCGATTAAGGTACAGTGATTATAATGATAAATACAATGATAAGTACACTAAACGTTATAAGTATATGTGAACAATTCAGAATATTACACTCCAAATTGCGTTACAACACAACTGTAAGAATTGTTGGGAATACAACTGCTTACTGAATGTAGATAGATAGTATAAAACAATATACAAAGGAGTGAAAAAGGAGCGAGTACGAACAAGGTAAGGCAAACTTAACAACAGGATTAATTGTTATATTTTAGCTATAAGTAAAGTAAGGGCCACATTCCTACAATTGAATATATGGAACTCAAAACAACTGTCTATCAACCAATATCAAAGTCAGAAATCTTCAGTACAAACATCAAGACAGTTCTACTGTATGGAGCTGAAACATGGAGGACTACTAGAACCATCACCAAGAAGGTACAAGTATTTATAAATAGTTGTCTATGTAAGATACTCAACATTCATTTACCGGATACCATCAGCAACAGCCTTCTATGGGAGAGAACAAACCAGTTTCCAGCTGAAGAGGAAATTAGGAAAAAATGATGGAGATGGATAGGACATACATTACGCAAATAATCAAACTGCATCACGAGGCAAGCCCCAACTTGGAATGCTGAAGGGAAGCAGAAAAGAGGAAGGTCAAAGAACACATTACGTCGGGAAATAGAAGCAGATATGACAAGGATGAATAACAACTGGAAAGAGTTGGAAAGGATTACTTGGGACAGGATTGGATGGAGAATGCTGGTGGGCGGCCTATGGTTCTCCACGAGGAGTAACAGGCGTAAGTTATAAGCAACATAGAACCTGGTACATATACGAAACAGTTTAAGTGATCACATCGCTGTCATATTTACAGAGAATGAAGGAGTTTCATATTCATTTTGTAAAGTTTCTCTACAACAACATAAAAAAATATAAATTATTGAGTTAAGACGAAAACCATCTAGGAATGCAAGTTCTGGGTTCGATTTTACTCCATGGATCATGAGGTCAACTGTGCGAATTAAAGAAAATTTCAAACTAGTATACAGGACAGCTACCCAGTTAACGTCAGTCAATAATGGAAATCATTAACTGGATACAGACTCGTGTACTTTGAACTCTGAACCACATTTTTATGTCTATGTAAAAGGTGATGATATTACATCCTACTGTTCAAATTGATCTAGATGGAAACTCAATGTTTGGACGATAGATATTTAATAAATAAAGTATAAAATGTTCGATATGTAGAGAATAGCAAAGAGCTTAGGTAATAGAACTTCATAGGAATTAGACAGTAATATGAGAATTTACAATACATATGTTTCGTATCAAATATTACAACAATCGATTCCCGCTGCCTTGAAAGTTGATAGGAGATAAGAATTGAATTTCTTCCAAATTGTTGAGTACTATGCTATATAGAAAGTGAGTTATATCGGATGTATGCAGTCTATTTTTCTCTCTGATTAGCCAGTCGACTGTCTAGTTGATTGGTCGTCTGTACAATGAAGTAACTGAACAGCCTTTTAGTGACTCTATATTCGACTCGAGTTAGGTCGTATGAATGATTGGTATCGAAATAAACATATCGCCAATCCTCGTATATAATTATCAACTTAAATTGCGTTAGTGAATAACGGAATTAAACAAGTCAAATACGTTTATTTCGTAAAATCGTTGATCTGAATGGAAAATCAGAGAATCGCAACGAATGAAGAAAATTGAAATGAAATGACGCGCGATGGAGAAGAAATATGAGCTAATTCCATTTAACCAAGCATGAATCAATATTTATAGTTGAACAAAAATAAGTTACAGACATGTGACGAATAAAATAAGAAATGCACACATATAAGCTTAAGTAAAAAACAGTGAAGGTTGATAAGCGAATAACTGACAAAGTAAAAAAAATGTGATCCAAGAAGAATGAATAGATTGACCTGTCCGGGCTAGCATAGTACTACAGACTTATACAAGTATTTCGAAAGGATATGAGATACAACCACTGCAAGGGAAGTCCTACTCACTACTTTCACGTGGCCGCAGTGTTGTTTACGAAACTGAGAGGACGAAAAGCGAATATCCGGCGCTTTACACGATTTGGTGGACACGGAGAGTGCACCTATGGGAGTTGGAAAACCCTCATTCCAAACCAATGGTGCACTTGAGCTCGTATCCTGAGGAAACAAATTGTTGGTCACCGGCTACCATGGGACTGCATCTCCTAACGTTGCTCTGTTGCCTCTTGGATCAGACATTTAGGTAGAAGCCTGGGGGTGTGGCCCCATTAAGAAAACCACTTGCTTCGGATTGGGCACCCAGGCAGTATCCCATCTCTCGCACAAATCGAATGATTTATGTGGCGCATATCTATTTGGTAACTCCTTGTATTAATGTTTGTGTCTAAATAAATAAAGTGTATTAACACAAATGAGAAAAAACGTGATTTGCCTTAAATGTTATGACTTGAGTTCGTGTATTGTATAAAAATATGTACTTACTAAAGCCAAATGTGCACGTAACTCAATCAATGCTAATTTACATAATCCACCAACAGGTGTATGCTCAGGAAATGTAGGCAATATTATATGGGAAAATGGTTTTGTTTGACTCCATAATTCATTTGAATGTAATAACTTATTATTATTCGCTGATTGTTGTAATAGTCCACAGTCATGATCACGTCTTGCAATGACACTATCAATAATATAACGTAGAATATCATGTGTATAAGATACATTGCCACGTTTTTGTTCAACTTCAGCTTGCCTATTAGATTGAAATTAGAAAATACAATTATAAACTAACATTTTATGGTACAATATCTATATGAAAGCTTATTTTATTTGTAAAAACAAACTGGCTATGGGTGTGATTTTATAAACCTAAATATGCACATACATAAGTCAGTCAGTCAGTCAGTAACAACGTAGAACTTCGTACGTACGTACATCAGTTCAAGTTGCCATACCACATTAGCACACAGCTCAACTTGTCGATTCAAATCCCGTAGTGGTAGAGGTAGTAAAAGTATAAGCAGTGATCGGGAAGATTAGAGTTTGGAGATGTTATTTAAAGAGTATAATACAGTGAAATAAATTTGGGAAGAGAAAAAAGACAAGGAGGAATCAGGAGATTAAAATTTGGGAGAACACAAAGAGTGTATGCGCCTGCGTTATTGCAAACGATTTTGAGCTATGTCATTCAGGGTCTCTAATCATCGGTTGCTATCAAATGCTGGATAAAACTAATGTCACCAATGTAGTATCGATTCTAATTTCTATACTGTTGGGATATTTAGAAAAATATCCCAAAAATGATTGTGTTAAGTCTAATGCTATCCTTGAACATGAAATGATGTCACTTTCCTATTGGTCAATATTTATGGTGGCTCTAACTGTATAAATATGCATTTGTCTGTAAAGTACTATTTCTATTCTTATTCTTCTTCTGACCCCATAAACAATTTTCATCTACGGTTCGTGTTCTGATATATTGAAGATTGAGGAACAGTATTGGGGTCGTACTGAGATATTTGAAGTTAGTCAGTCGGTAGAAATTAGAGTAGCCACCACTCCGCGGTCCACAATATATACTTTACTAGAATTAACAAATTGAGACAGGAAATGAATAAGATGTAGAAAGGTAAAGAAGAAGAAATAATACAAACTACAGTGGAAAACTAAACATAAATAGTATACTTCAAAAGGTACAAGTGAAAAGAGTTAAGAATGATATATAACTAGAAAAATTAGAGAATAACACAAAGAATGAGTGGAAACATGCAATTGTACAATTGATAATTTAGTATCATATTAACTACTATGTTTAAGCATAAATTAAAGTTGTTTGCATATGTCCTAACACAATTTATACAAGTGTAGACAATGAATTCATGTATACACATCATCACATCACTGAAGATACTGAATCGATTTCCGTGAAGAGTATTCTATTGATGAAAATTTTTAACTGTGTCAAAATGATAGAAAGTGGTTATAACAAGAATACGATCCATAGACAATAATTAAATGGACCTAATATGTCTATTATTTGATAGAGTAATCTTTATACTTCTAAAAATTAAGCTTCGATAAAATAAACTTATGGATGATCAATACCAGTTTACATTAATGAAATACTATTCATCGACTATTGGCAACTTTTAGTCAGTCAGTCAGCTACATACCGCATTAGCACAACAAGATGAACACTGGATTCATAGATGTAGTTACTTCAATGGGGGTAATATATAAAAGAAAGATTGCATATAAAAGCATAGTACAAGAAGAAAGAATATGAAGCGATTTTAATCTCTTAGTTTAAGGGAAGACAGAGAGTGTATACACTGACGCGATTGTGGTCGATTCTAAGCCATGTCACACAGAGTTTCCAACCATTGGTTACGGTAGTCACACGGACCCCAACCAAGTAGTCTGTATCTACCAACATGACTCAGACTAGAAGTTAGTTTCTTCAAGCACTGATGTCACGTTTTGGTTTGGCCGCCCCTAACTTTCTTCCAACCATCTCCAACACCTGTAACTTTAAATGATTTTGAGGAAGTAAGCCAACTTTCAGTCAATCAAAATGAAAGTGATATAAATAGTTTATTAAATAAAACTGGAGAAAGCTAGAGATTAAAATCTGGATTTTGGAAGTTAGGTCGAGTTAGGAACAATGGTTAGAAAATGAGTGAATGAAAGTTTTGTAAGTAATATATGAAAAGGTTATACAGTTAGTTGATTGATTTTATCTATTAGAAATTACTAAGTTGTCTTTGAAAATCCATAGATTATAGTCCTGTTTTCTCTAGTCTTCCTATGTTTATCAATTTTAAGAGTCTCGATAAGTGAATATCAGTTCTAGTGAGAAGCCGTGACCAGTGGAGCTAATCCGTGTCGGGTAGAGACAGGTATCTACCTCATTAAAATGGAAGATAGTCACACAATTTCGTGGATTGGTTGAGGTTAAACGTTAACACCATTGGATGCGGCCGGCTCAGTGGTCCAATAGGTTAAGCGTTCGCGAGTGAGACTGAAGGCCCTGAGTTCGAATCCCGCGAGCAGGATCGTGGATGCGCACAATCCCTATACTGCTAAATATCAGTAAGTTTTACTTAGCTTTTAATCAAAAATGTAGCATCCGCTATCGTAGTAGTAAAATAATTATATTTTTTCGATCACATCTAACGTTGATATTGATACTTACATCCTCTATTGTATTTTCAATTTTGTGCAAAAATTTGGTATCCTCTACCTTAAATCTGATTGGTTGGTTAGTAAATTATACTTTCATAATTTCTTTGGTTAGTCAACCACGATTCTAATGAATAACCAAGTCCTCGGTAAATCTCAATTCATACTACGGCGTTAGTGTTTGTGATTCTCTTATTAGTTACTTTCTCTTTTGGACAGTCATTTTAATAATAGATACCTAAGATCATGGTTTTCACTATATAAACAGACCTGCTATATCATATTCTTGACTTCGTTTAGAAATATTAAAGGTCCCCTGAAAGTTCCAACTTCTTACTCTTTATCGTATATGGATCATAAATGTGGAAGTATTAGTTATCCAATCCGTATAGTTGGTCTAAATCTTGTCTTGCATAATAGGAATCTCCCAATAGTTTGTAAGTTGGAGTGATCAAATAATTGTCAAACTATAACAACAATAAACAACCAAGCTCTAGTTTCCCAAAAATTCGTTTAAACCATATGTGTTATTCTGCATAAATATTTGTTTTCGTGGAAGTTAGTTGGGTATTTTTTTGCCGATGAATTGATATCAGCTGGAGAACTACCATTGAAAACGCATCGAAGTGAGGAATAGCTCTATTTTGTACTGATTTGGAACGCGTTAGCCAAGTGAAAAAAAACTGTAGAGCGTTTTTTTAAAAAGTTTCAATGGTATTTGTCTAGTTGGTGTCAGTTTTTGTGACAAGAATTAACTACAATCAAACAACGATAAAATTACCTTATAGCAGATTCCCATGGACAATAAAGTTTTATTGAATTAACCAAACGATCGCATTGAGCTAAATCATAACCAGATCTTAGATGTTGCTCCAGTTCAACTTCCATGCTAGCTTGTAGTAAAGGTGATTGGTTTGGAAAACGACACAATATAGATCGACATATTTTAGATAATTTTAATGCTATCTCAATTGATCCCTTTGAAGAGAGAAAGAGAGAGAGAGAAGATTCTCACAAAAGTTAGAAATAACTCTTAGATGGGAACTAATTTTTACCTTACAAACTGATAAGGATTCAAAATCTCCATATAAACTATTTACTCACAAATCATTTTGTTACTTTTATTCCCGTAAATTTGAATTTCTGTGGTTTTCGCGCCTAACTTCTGTTCTTGATCTGATGTATTTACACATTATATAGATGATATTGCTAAGAGTAGAGCTGGGTTTGATTATGATTGTGAACCAAGCTGTTACTATTAAAATATTCAATACTAAAATATAGTTTACTAATCAGTTTAGTATTTGAATTCAATTACAGTAAGCCTTTGCTAAACAATTTATGTACTTTTTATACAAATACAAAGATTGAATATTATACCATTAATAAAGGAAAATGTATGAGTGGTCGCCGTAAAACTTAACATCAGTCCTTGAATTACTAATTAAAATCAAAGAGCGCTAGACCATCATTTTGTCCTATTTCACTATTGATTTATTTATTTGAACATATAAATATTGATACAAAGGAGCACCGAATACAAGTACGCCACACAAGTCACTTGACTTGCGTATGGGCTGTGATACTACAGACCGAGTGCTCAGACGGCAGCAAATGGTTTTCTTAGGGGGACACAACTGGAGCCTTTCACCTAAAGTTCTGATCCCCAAGGCAGTGGAGCAACATCAGGAAATGAAGTCCCATGGAAGCCGGTGACCAATAATTGGTTCATACGCCATTCGTTCTTTCAGGATCCTGGAGCATATGTACATTATTGGTTTGGAATAACGGTTTTCCAACTCTCATAGGTGGAATCTCCGTGTCCACCAACCCGGTTAAAGTGCCGGATATTCGCTTTTTGTTCTGTCAATTTCGTAAGCAACACCTCCGCCAGGAGAAGGCAGTGAGTAGGACTTCCCTGGCAGTGGTTGTATGTACGTGGCCATGTGAGAGCATTTGGAGAGGGATAGCTGACTCTACCCACCATCGTCTGTACCAGGGTATTTGGGGATTATTTCATAGGAAATCTATGAGTAATGCGAACTATCCATAGTGACCTTTCAAGTTTTGTGGAGAAGACTAATTAAAAGTGGAAAAATCACAATCAAGGAATTAAATCAAAGGTGACTATAACATAATATAAGAAAAAAAGACGAACAAACTTACCATGGAATTAAACTCTTTTATAATGTTTGCAAAAGCATTAGCTAATACAGTATCGGAATAAGGACATGGTTCTAAACAATCTGCATTAATTATACACTGCATCAATACAGTGGCCATATTTCTGTTAATTCATTTTATGCATTAGACAAAGAAAAAAAAGTAAATATGTTGTCATCAAAAGAACTTGGTCGGTGAAAGATGAAATTGATAAAAAAAATACGATACTCATGAAGAAGATGCTTAATGGTTCAAGATCCTGAGTAGAGAGTTATGGGGTTAAAAACACTACTGACAAACTTGAAACTAAAACTGAATAAACTCTATCATGCTTTATAGTTTTTCAAGTGATCTCAGTTCATAATGAACAATAACCTTATGACTAACTAACCAACGACATTAGATAACAGTTGCACAATATTGAGAATTGATTAAAAAAGTTAGAAATGCAAGTCATTGGACGCCAACTAAGTGGCCTAAAGGGTTAAGCGCACGCGTTGGCAACTATTGTGTGATCATGGAACTGTATCACTGAAGAGTCTCATACCTAGGCGAAAAAGTAATCCAATGCCTCTTGATTTCTAATCATAATCTAACTAAAGTCAATATGTGATGTAAACTACAAAATTCACCAAAACTCCACTGACCATCTACATTAATAGAAAAGTAACATTTTAAAATTAATTAATTAGTTAATGAACAAATAGAAATTTATCATTCTTACGGATAACCATAAAATTGCCACATTGTAGCTAAATCCAATTGACAAACAGTAAAATATGCTTGAGATATAGTATTAACTGAATTGAAGTAAACAGTTAATAGTCTACAAAAGAATAGAAAAGAATAAATTTAAAAGTTAATAGAATTGTTTATGTCAATCAGCAACAATGTAGAACTTCGTACGTATGTATGTACATCAGTTAGAGTTGCCACACCACATTAGCACAGAGATGCAGTGGTCGATTCAAGTCCCGTAGTGCTAGATGTAATAAGAGTATAAGCAGTAATCAGAAACATTAGGGTTTAAAAATGTTATTCAAGGAGTATAATCCAGTGAGATAAATTTGGAAAGAGGAAAAAAAGGGACATGAAGAATCTGGAAGATTAGAATTTGGGAGAACACAAAGAGTGTATGCACCTGCGCCATTGCAAATGATTTTGAGCCATGTCATTCAGAGTCTCTAACCATCGGTTGCTATCATCTCGCGGTCCCCAACCAGGTAGTCTACACCCACCACCATGGTTCAGTCCACTTGTCAATGACTTCATGGATTTGTGCCGTGTTTTGGTCAGGCCACCCCTAGATTTCTTCCAACCTACTCCTACACCATAAGAAATAGCACGTCAGGGCAGTCGGTGGTTGGGCATACGTAACATGTGTCCCAGCCATATCAACTGATGAATTTTCACTACTTCATCAATTGATTTGCCATTCTTATCCAGAACCCGTTTCCTAACAACTGCATTACTCACTCAGTGGTCCCAGGATATACGAGCAATGCTTCGAAGACACCTGTGATTGAATACCAGTAACCTGCGAATATCCTCTACTCTTACAGACCATGTTTCACTGCCATAAAGTAGGATAGGACGAAGTGTTGCGTATTAAACCCGTACTTTAGTTGGTAGACGGATATCTCGCCTACGCCATGAATGATGCAAGTTGGCAAAAGCTAGTCGAGCTTTGTGTATATGTGCTGAGATTTTGTCACACGCCAGACCGCAAGGGCTGATGAGACTCCCAAGTGGAGCGGTATGATTATTATTTATTTACTTATTATTTGAACACAAATATTGGTACAAGAGGACACCAAATATCGATGCGCCACACAAAACAATGAAAATGGGTAGAAAAAAAAGAAGGTAAAGAAAAAAAAGAACAATAACGACCGGATTAGTGTAAGGTAGTGTGATAATAATAATAATAATGGGGGAAACGGAAAGGTACAATCAGAAGAAATCTTTCAGTTAAGGAAGATACAACCACTTTTATGAAGTAAAGAAGGTTACAGCAGGATCGCCACTGGCTTCTATTCTGAGCCATATCTGATAACGTCTCTAGCCACTGTGTCGCACCATATCTCAGACCCCAGTCAGGGAGTCATGAAGGACCAACAGAAGACAGCCCTTTGCAGCCTTCTTTCATATCACGACACCATGTCATGCACTGACCACCTCTCCACTTTTTTCAACCAGTCCCAGAGTCGGCAAATAATGCACGGCGTGAAATTCTCTGGGACGACATTCGTAGAACATGTCCAAGCCACCAAAGTTGGTGTTTCAAGATGATAACACCAATTGGATTATCGTTTCTGTGCCCGAACACACGATGTCGAACCTCTGCATTATTACCATGGTGTTGCCACTGGATATCAGCAATCCTTCGGAGACAACGATGATCGAACACAGAGAGTCGTCTAACGTCCTCAACTCGGAGAGGCCAGGCTTCACAAGCATAGAGCAAAACTGCTCTCACCGACGCATTGTACATCCGACCTTTTACAGCCAGACTAACATCACGAATACACTAAAGATAGCCCGGATTGGCATAAGCCGCTCTGGCTTTCACTATACGTGCATTGATCTCATCACTCACGCCACTAGCAGCACTTATGCAGCTACCTAGATATAAGAACTTCTCGACTACTTCTATCTGCTCACCATCCAGACTGAGTACAGGATTAGAATCCTGCCAGTATTGTAGAAGTACTTTGCACTTCGAAGGTGCAAAGCACATACCATACCTACGGACATTGATTGCCAACTGATTAAGTACAGATTGCATATATTTATTAAATGACAAGATCATATAGTTTAAGGTTCAGGATACACTAGTCTATTATGCAGATTGAAAGGGATGGAGTATACAGTTCAGATGTGTATTTTAAAGTAGTCATCAAATAATTTATTTTCTCGAAAAAATTAACAAACTCACACACGAGATACTTGGTTATGAGTGAATGATACTATATGGTTACTCAAAAGGGATTAGAGAGAACTGATCTGGTAACTGGAAATCCGATACTTCAATCACTAAGTTATAAAAATAATATTTATGTATGTTGGTATTAGTTTCGTAACAGGTACTTGGTTATCTTTTCGAGAAAATACATGATCGTAATATTCTAGTATATTCGCAGATGTTAATATTGTTCATTTAAGTAACTCAATCACGCCATACGCATTCATGAATTCAACTTAAAGTCACACATCTGATCTTTAACAGTTAGTTATACCATCTTGGCTACTACTCAAACCAACAATAAATGAAATAGAGTTTGAATCTATAAACCAATTCACTCTGATCTACTAACCTGGGAAAAAAGTATCTATACTTTTCAATTTCGATCCCATTTTGATTACTATAATGTACTAATGAAATCTTGAAAACTATATTGTACTAAATATGATTCCTTCTCCTCCTTAGCTTTTTTCTTCATTTATTTTCTACTTGAATTATCTTCTCCTAATGAACCCGTCTCAACGTACAATAGTAAAAACATAAAAATTTCTATGTCTGTCTACCACCGGTTATAACCAATCTATAAAGTACTAACTAATATACTCAAGTCTGAGCTACACATCATATACATGTACCATACGGTGGACTAATTAAAATAAAATGGAGTAGAGTTTGAACAAGGTACAAAATACATGAGTATTTATTATTCTTTAGTAAATTAGTTTGTTTACCGTAAAAGTTAATGACTAGATAGTTGTTTCATGTTAATTGTAAGCTCTCTTTTGATTAAAGACTGAGTGGAGAATACAGTAGGAAAATTAGTGGATTTCTTATCAGTAGTATAGTTGAAAGCACAACAAAACTTTAAAATAACCGAATTGAATTGCAACTCAGCAACAAACTTATCAAGTCTTCATTCAGAAGAACTACTTAATTCTAAAAAATGAGATGTGATAAAGTTCGACTTGCACTTCCGCGCAGTGCTCCTTCGATAGTGAGTGACCGTTTTCCCTATGAACTAATGCAAGCAGCAAAGAAAAGACCGGAATGAACATCCACTCTGCTGAAACTAGCAGAGATAGAACTAATCAGGCGATCTGCCAAAGATGGCGATTGGGATAATCCCTCACTATAAACTCTGATTACCAAGAGGAGAGACGTTAACTTCCTTTCAGTGTCTGAACAGATCCTGTCTGAAAGGGCGAACCAGAGCGTAGGTCATAAACTGTGTCGTAACCAGCACATAAGGGTCGATACTAAAACTACTTGTAGTATGAGTGTGAAGTAGGTATATTGTCTATGACGACTTATTTACATACTGATTTGAGTACTTGATATTCATTTAACGGAAAAGGCCGCTGAGCTGCGGCCTGGAGTGATTGCATCTATATCTATATGTGTCCGATGGAGTGTATAGGTTTCAGCCTATGCGTGGTCTGTGTGCATGGAATGTATATTTGCAAGCGACAAACGCCTACACTTTTATGTACTCGTGAGATGAATGGACTTGTCCGTGTATTACATGATTCCATGTAATGCATACTAACAAACGCGCTCATTTATACCTAAGTGTATCACCGCGATTTATGTATCCATATAGAGCATAATTGGGAGAAAGTTCCACATTATTCACTAGTGAAATCGCTAGTAACTCATCAACTCGTTTGCCTTTGCATAAGATTTTCTGAAAGTACACATTTTAAAAAAAAAACGTGAAGTGAACTTACTTATATGGTTCTGATCCTATATCTAATGTATTCCAAAATTTTGTACGAAATTCAGTTAATGTAACATCCTTTAATTTAGATTATAATAAACAATAATAAAATATAAATTTAAACTTTGAAAAGAAAGAAGAGTTAAGGAATTAGAAATACTTGTCAACAACAGAGAGTATAAGTAACCATGAGAGAACTAATGCTTTTCTTATAGGATTCAAGTTATCCAATGTCACAATGTGTTATATCCGAGCGAAGATTAAATCACGAGTGACTTCTGAGACATACTGTCTATGCATTCTTATGGTATAACTATTCAATAATTAGATTATGTATATTTATATTCCTCTTATTATAAGCTTCATTTTGACCTATAGATTATTATTGTACGATTTACTGTTCTTAAGGTATGTTCAGTTTATTAACTACCGCCTCCCACATTCACAGCCACTTTTGGGCTTTATTGTGTACAAATGTTATTTCCTATTTCATGATGCATTGCGGTTTGTTTGATTGATATATAAACCCAGTATGTGTGAAACGAATTATTCGATTCGATTCGCATAGTAGAAGCTGGTATTGGTGTTCTGGACTCAAGTGTATGGGTTAGGCGGACATAGGACCAATAAGAACGCTAGGCTGCACATACCGGTCGAACGTCATTAGTTTTGGCACAGTGCTAAGATTGGATAAGTTGTATTTTGATCGGTGGATAAATCACGTGATGAAAAAGCCGGACATAAAGACACAACACAATGGGATTTTATAATTCAGTTATTCAAACCTCTCTTATCCATTTCATTGAACTTCCAATTGGTGACACTAAGGATTTTATATTGATTGATCATTGAATAATAAACAATTTCATATTTTCTTTCTAGTTCATAGTCTTGATCAAACTTTATTGAATACATTACTATCCATTGATTGATTTTAATCAATTAATATCAAAACATAATGCACATAATGTCAAGTGGTACAATGCAATTTGATCGATAAAATTTGATTAGCACTAAAATAGAACTAGATAAGTATTATTAACTAATGATAGATCAGTGTTAAGATTCAATCTATTGTTTCTACTACGAAAATCTTTATACCAATTCGATCATATTTTTGGATGAAAATATGGTTAATTGAGTTGACATCCGCCAAGATATTTGTGGATGCATTTCAAACCTTGAAGAAGTAGATTTAAACTAGCAAATGACTCAATGATAGGGTGATCCGGGAAATTTTTCGCAAAAGACAAGCAAGGATCAGGAAACACTAAGAAGCGTTTCCTCCAATCAGAGTTCACTTGAAGTTTTAGCCAAAAATATCAAGGAAGTGAAACGTCACATACAGAGGTCCTGATTGACTGATTGCTACACTGATGCTATGTTTAGTAGCATTCCAGAATCTTCTAGCAGCCCAAGGACATTTAAAATATTATAAAAACCCTATATTTTCTGTATTAAAATGAACCTTGGAGTAAACTACTTCTCGCATACTTTGCGCCTTCTCTCTTGTGTTCAGGTCGCTGTACAGTTCTAGCTTGGGGGTTACAGAATAGCTTACGAGACGAATATAGCGTCCAATCCGCGAGACTTAACAAGTGTCCCTGTAATATTAGACAAAGTTGATTTCAATTTCAGATGGAATCATGGTCTACAAATATACAATTCAACACAAAGGATTATGTAATTTAGCGTATCCATAATTTGACCTATCAGGAATCCAATCCAGGACCTTTAACCTTACGCACAAATATTTAACCACTAGTCTTGTGTGTGCACTGATGAAGAGTCCCATACTAGGATGAAACAGCTGTCCAGTACTTCCTAGTTTTTAGTATTTATCTAGCCTAGATCGTTATGTGGTCTCAACAAAACATGAAATATTATTTTGCTGAACAAATTATTCGACTGATTTATTCATATCACTTAACTGGATAACCCTACATACATACACTTATCAGTGCTAGCCGAAAAAAAGGATATCCATAATCTGTACAAAATTAAAGACAATACTGATCGTTTGACATTTTAGTAACAATTGTAGCTTGGTATTTCAAACGGCTTAGTTAGAACTATCTGGTCAAACTAAGTGATCTGAATATTCATAATTAAAACATTCCATTTCAACACTAATTAACTAAAACTGGTGGTTAAAAGGCTAGATGAATATAATACATATGGAAAAGATTATCAAATGTCGAGTAATTGGTAGGATGTGTTCTGTGTACCTAAGCAATAATACTCGCCTATTTAGCAGAGATCAGTCTGTTACGTTTTACTGTATGCCTATAAAAGATCTTTTGAAGACAGGATATGTGTAAGTTATTATCATTTGATCGCAGGTATCTTGGAAGGATCAGTCGTGTATATTAGAACAATCGATTGATCAATACTGAAAATATATGTACAGTGCTAGAAAGTAATGACAAATAGATTAGTAAAATGTCAAGTCTTCAACGACGAATGTTGGTTAGTGCAGGAGTAAGTTGGATGGAAGATGGCAATGAGTCATTAACAGTTGTCCTAATTTTTGTAGGGTGTTGTCGAATAATTAGAGTCTACGTGATAATCACAATAAATGCTTAGGGAGTTTAGTTAGCAGGAACCCATAAATTGTTTACATTTCCCTTACATTTTGAGTTTCAATATTATTTGACAATCTTTTTACTTCATGGTCGATAGAATTCGATCTGCACTAATAAGGACTTAACACGCGTGACATTAGTCACTATCTAGTGATCAATCAATTGTGATTACATCTCATTCCTACAGGAGGTTGGTCGCGGCCCGGATAGCTCAGTGGTAACGTCTCTGACTGTGAAGCTGGGTGACACGGAATCGAATCCGTCAGGGAGTACCAGTTCCCTCAAGACTATAGGTACACCTTGCTGACGAGTGCCGAGTAGCACGAAACCTGGGTCCAGGGTTTCGTGTTGACTGCCTCCAACCACCATCTAATCTCACAATAGTGCATGCAGAGTCGAGTCACCTAGACTGGTGGCTACATTGCATCATTGTCAATAGCATTCGATCTGCACTAATAAGGACTTGACACACATGACATTGGTCACCATCCAGTGATCAATCAATTGTGACTTCATGAATTTATTTTGTCTTTTTGAAATATCTTCTTCATGTTTAGTCTTTTTGCCATCATTAATACTACTGTAGTGAATGAGAACGCAATTGCGACAATCGAATGTATTTCAGCAAAAAACTACAGAATCTCTTAGTCAAATCTGAGAAGTATACAGTAAATTTTTCATTTGCAAAATGGCAATCAATTATCACTTTCGATTGATGATACATACTACTTATATCTGTCGACATCAGTAGTACACACTAAGAATGCCCAGGTACGCCCAAGAGTGGGGAGAGTCCGCTCTCTCTCGAAAAATGCTCTCACATGGCCACGCGTATATAGCCCCTGACAGGGACGTCCTACTCACTGCCTTCCGTGGGGGGGTGTTGTTTATGAAATTGAGAGGACGAAAAGCGAATGTCCGGCGCTCTAACCGGATCTCAAACCAATGGTGCACATGGGCTCCAGTATCCTGAAGGAACAAATGGCGTATGAAACAATCGTTGGTCACGGCTACCATGGGAATGCATCTTCTTACGATGCTCCACTGCCTTGTGGATCAGACCTTCAGGTCGAAGGCTCCGGGAGTGGCTCCTTAAGGAAACCACCTGCTTCGGTCTGGGCACCCGGGCAATATCACAGCTCTCACACATATCAAATGAGATCTGTGTGGCGCATATGTATTTGGTGCCTACACTATTACTATTACTTTGAAACCTTTGTTATTTCATACTGTTACATAGATGTTTATCATGTTCTATAAACACTAATTCTGACCATAGTTGTTTTGTAGAAGGATTTCACCAAGAAATGTTTGTGAATTAAGAGCCAATTAAATGGGATAGTATTTAGGTTAGATAGGATGAAAGATAATAAACAATTTCCCTCATCTTACTTGCTTGACAAGATTTTCCACATAACAATAAATTTGTAGATGAACACAAAACAATTCATTAAAAATAATCCAATAACTACATTTGATTTAAATGATTGTTTCATAGGTACTTCATTATCATAACGAAATGGATCAGTACTTGAATTCAATAAAGTATGTGTGACCTAGAATAAAAATAATATCAGGTATGTATGTAATGAACAAAGACTTGAATAGGGTAAATCAATTTATTGTATGATCATGCAAAATGACACATTGTAAATGTAAAATATGAAAACAATACATGAAATACATTATTTGCCCATATTCCTTGAATTTTCTCTTACAAACTCCATCGTTTTTTTTTCATTCAGCCGGTTTAATCCAGAACGCTAATATCAGCCCTCTGCGATACGAATCATATATGTCAGACATATTGGACTTTAATAAAAAAAATCAAACCATATCACCCCATGAAAGAGAAAATAACATTTGTACAAGATCAAGCCCAAAGTGGCTGTGATTGTGGGATATTGTGACTAATAGACTGAGAATGACTTGAGAATAATAAATCATATACAGTAACTCATAGGTCAAATAAAAGCTTATAATGTAAGGAACATAAACATACATATAATATAGTTACTTTATTTATTTATTTAAACACATAAACACCGGTACAAGGAGGCACCAAATACATATGCACCACACAAATCTCATTTGATATGTGTGAGAGCTGTGATACTACCCGGGTGCCCAAACCGAACTAGGTGGTTTTCTTAGGGGGCCACACCCCGAGCCTTTGACCTGAAGGTCTGATCCACAAGGCAGTGGAGCATCGTAAGAAGACGCAGTCCCATGGAAGCCGGTGACCAACAATTGGTTCGTACGCCATTTGTTCCTTCAGGATACTGGAGCCCATGTGCACCATTGGTTTGGAATCCGGTTAAAGCGATGGACATTCGCTTTTCGTCCTCTCAATTTCATAAACGACACCCCTGTCACAAGAAGGCAGTGAGTAGAACTTCCCTGTCAGGGGCTATATACGCGTGGCCATGTGAGAGCATTTTTCGAGAGAGAGCGGACTCTCCCCACTCTCGGCCGTACCAGGGCATTTGGGGGCATTGGTTCATACGCCATTCGTTCCCGCAGGATACTGGAGCCCATGTGCACCATTGGTTTGAAATCAGGGTTTTCCAACTCTCCTAGGAGGATCCTCCATATCCACCTGCTAGTTTTGAAGCTATTACGAGTTCACTTAGTAGGTGAACGGAACAACGACTTGTGACCGTAAACCAATAATCTAGCTACTTGATGCGTCCCATCCCCGCTAACTAGAGGAAGAAGTCCAAGCTTGGAACGGGAAAGTATATCCCGTAAGCCAGAAGCATGAGTGAATAATAACAGACACAAATCAAACGTATATATACAGCATAAAACTGTCCTTGGGAAGTGTAGCAAAAATAGCATACTAAAAATACACAACGGACCAATAGCGTTAAAGATTCTCCTGAGTGGGAACACAACATGAAGGTGAAAAGTGCGTTTTTGGCGCGAAAACGAGGAAATTTAAATTTCCAAGATAAAATTATAAAATTAAAGCATTTACCGAGTAATTTCTGGGGATCTAACATCCTCAACACCACCAACCTGTTTAAAGCGCCGGATATTCGCTTTTCGTCTCAATTTCTTAAACACCGCTGCGAGAAGGCAGTGAGTAGGACATCCTGGCTGTGGTTGTATGCACATGGCCATGCGAGGGCATTTCAGGAGAGAGAGAGAGAGAGAGAAAGAGTGAACTCTCCCCACTCTCGGCCGTACCAGAGCGTTTGGGGGCTAGTTACTTAATGATCATACAATAAGAATATTCGTATGATATTAGTACATAAATAATCACTAGCGGTTACTAGTCATTTATTCACATCCGGATATAGTAATAATAATACACTCACTTTAACATGACCAAGTGAATCTTTAGATTCACTTTCTAGCGATTTTTGAAGTGCTTCCTTAATCAAACATTTTCCTTTATACCTAGTAAACATTCACCCAATAATATAAACAACAAAGTGAATTATAAGTAAATAAAGTGAATGAAGTGAAGAAGAAACAATTAATAAATCTTGAATTCTAGACAAAAATGGAACAACATATGTAAACCATAGGTAGATCAGTGTTCGGACGCTGATTATTAAACTCAGTTTGAAATCATACACTTGTTTTTAATTCAATGGCTTAATAAACTATCCCAAGCGTTGAAATCCAAGAAAATGAATGGGGTTCCTATTTGCGGATTCAGTAATTTTAATCGTTCACTTATATTAACGGATAATAATTAAATCGATGAATGTTAGCTGATTGAAAAAGATGAAATTAATCTCCACAAATCGTCTATCTTAATCAATTTCTGTAGTTATATTTTAATCTTGAGACGGTGAAGAAGATTTGTAGCTCAAAAGAATGATTTCAGTGAAATTGTATCTGTTGAATAGTTAAATTGTTCTCATTGACATCTTAGACAATATCGTCAGTAGCATAAACTTTAGAGGTAAAAATCCTTGACATTGTCTATTCGTGGTGCAAGTTAGCGAATTGACATGAAATACGTATACGAATACCTTAGACACCAAGTACCATTAACCAAGAACACTGAATATATATATATATATATATATATATATATATATATATATATATATATATATATATATATATATATCTTTACAATTGAGTTTGTTCATATATTTCAATTTAGGTTAGCCAATAAAAGGTTCCTAATCACTGCTGGTTTTCTCGCTAATGTTGCAAGTTGATCGTGTATATAGGAAGCGGATAGATCAATGTCTAAACTCGAACAACTGCCTAACACAATACATATATAAGTATTTCTTTCTATCATAAAATTTATTAAATATGAAGCAACTCCATAGAGCTTAGAGTCCGTTAATGTACATGGCTCTTACTAAGTGTTTAAACTTAAACAGGTGAAGTTGATCTGAAAAGGAAACCAAGATGTATGTAAAATCTTACTTACATTGATCGAGATAAATTAGTATTAGCAAGTTACTAATTATAGTATTCCGACATCAGACAGTGGGTTTTAAGCGTTATTTAAGCCCTAACGCTTTAGGCTGGGCTACTTCGCTTACTACCCTATACATGTGTTGTATGCAGTATAAGCTATATGGCTATATAGAGCTGAAGGTCTCATATGAGGCTGGAGGTTCGCCATTGTCATTGTGGACGGTTCGGCATTGCTTTGGCAAGTTTTGCTGACTGTTCATGCAAAAATTGGTTTGCTGGTTAACCGATTCCATTCATACTGGTGGTTGCTTTTCAGTGTTCCCGAGGGCCATTGTCATTGGGACATTGTAAGGCGTGCCGCCATTGCTAACATTAACGAGTTTGACTGTCGTGTAAGCGGAATAGGTCAACTTTGGCCTGTTCGTGCTGTGCATAATTGATTCACGCGATCATTGATCGGGATAACTATACACGTGGTGTGTGTGTGTATATGAATGGTGCGAATGGTCCACCAGGGTGCTTGGTACCTGTGTGGTTGCGCCACAGGATTGAGCTGTACTATTCAGATTGTAGCGTTAAAGCCTGTATGGTGTCTGGTTCCCCTACTAAACGGGGTTGAGCTGTACTGTTTGAGTTTTTACGTGAAAGTCCGGATGGTGTCTGGTTCTCCTGAAAACCAATGTAAAATTACCCTGGCCCACAAGGGTATATTATATAACTTATATAACTAAGTTACTTTAACACAGTTACTATACATAGAAAGTACAACAACTAAGTAGTAGGAAAAAAATCAACTTACCAATGACCGAAATTTAAATGCATTGCAGCACCAGTCACTGCCATATGAGCACAGGTATTACTAGAATTGATAGGTGGAGTTAACACTGATGATGTGATTGTTCCTTGTCCTGCTGTTGTCGTTGTAGTTGTTGATACTGTGCCAGATCCAGAAAATGTTGACGTTGTTAATGATATTTCTGGATTTTGTACCGATGCCATACATGTTTCAAAGTATGCATGTAATTCGTTCTCAGCCATCGTAAGATTTCGTTTATGCAAAGCATATACATGTGAGGCATAATGCTGTTTTAAAAAAAGAAAGATAGAAACAATGGAGATGAAGAACTTTACATAACGTGGTGAAAATACTTGGTGACAATTGATACAATCAACTGTAGTACTTGGCACCGATGATTCTCAGAAAGAGGTGTTTAATTAATCTAACATTCTTGATATAAAGGCTGATTATACTTTAAGTACAGATATACACGGAACTCAAAGCTCCTTTATTCATGTGAAAAATTTGGTATGGATGTTCAAGGAAATGAGAAGTACAGTAACAAATGTTGATTGACTAACTTCGATTAATCTCTTCAATCATGGGATTTTAAGGTTACACTATCAACCGATTCCCTTTCACAAAACTTGACTATCTCCTATGTTAATGTTTTCTCAAAAGTTATGGATTCTAACACAATCAGAGAACTTTCACCGTTTCGATTATCTCAGTTATCACGAGACATTTACAATGTAATTATTGTTAAAGTGTTTACTTGCTTTTCCATTCAAAAACCTGTTTACATTTCTCGGTAGATATAGATTGTTCCAAACAAATGACTACTCTTTATACTATTTTACCTCATAGGTCAGATCCTCAGAGTAGCGCATCTGGACATTCTTCATGCTTTTAATGATGTTTTTCAATGTAAATTAACAGTTATTGCACCAAACTGAGTCAAACGAAATCTTAATAAACTTGAAGGTATCTTTTGCACTCAACCCTGTAATTGGTATCTCAGAGCTAGTAAGCTCATTTGAACTTTTCAGTATCGTGCCTCCATGATTATTAGATGAAATTAAATTTACGAACGAAAGAAACCACTTTTCGACTGTGGGAAAAACCACCTTTACAAATTTCCGATCTTCTATTCATGATTATATCCTCAAATACCTTGGTATGCCCAAGGGTTAGAAGAATCCGCTCTTCCTCACAAAATGCTCTCACATGGCCATGCGTATACAGCCAGTGCCAGAGAATTCCTACTCACTGTCTTCTCGTGACGGAGGTGTTGTTTATGAGACTGAGAGGACGAAAAGCGAATGTTTGCCGCTTTAAATGGGTTGGTTGATACAGAGGGTTCACCTACAGGAGTTGGAAAACCATGATTCCAAACCAATGGTGCACATTTGTTCCCGTATCCTGAAGGAACAAAAGGGTGTATGAATCTAATATTGGTCACCGGTTACCATGGGACTACATTTCCTAAGCTTGCTGAAATTCAAAAAATAATCTAAGCATTCATATCATTAAGACGAACAAACAAAAAACACTTACCGTATATGATACTTCAGGATACATTTTTTTAGCTAACAATAAAAGTTCATTGTATTTTTGTAGATTAAGATTAGGACGTCCACCAATTTTCCCAATAGAATCGATAATTTCTGAACAAACATCTAAAGCTTGATTACGACTGAAAAATATGAATGAATGTTTGTTTGGTTGAGAAAAACAAACAAAAGAAATACTCGTTAGGAATAAATCAACGTTTGAAGTTGAATAAAAGTTTTTCAACTAAAAAAAAGAGGTTGTGGAGAGCTTTTTTTTAATTTCATGGTTAACACTACTGATCGATCTTAGTTAAACGACTACTAAAAAGCAAGAAGCATTTCGTTTTAGTATAGGACTCCTTAGCAGTGTGTATCCATGACCCCACCAGCGAAGATCGAGCCCAAGAACTCTGATCTTGAGTGTGAACGCTCAAGCTTCAGATCACTGATACGTGTTTAACTTCAATAGATTCGTAATATCACACAACCACTTTCCAATGTATGTAGTGTGTAACTGCGTGACATTCTACATAGTTGAACTCCACTGGTCACGATTTCTCTCTAATGTTAACTATGAAAAGTTCTTTTACAATGTACATGAAAGTGATTGACGGAAAACCTATTGAAAGGCTAAACCAAGACAAAAATCAGTCCATGAAATCACTGATTGTTAAACTGAACAATAGCGTGAGATTTAGACTATCTCCATGACGTTCGTGTGATAACTGGGTGCTGGGTGACGTGACTCAGAATTGAACACAATGGTGCAGATGCATTCATACATTACATCTCACCTAGATCTTTGGTTTCAGTGCTCCATCATACATGCCGTCTCTTCAGCTATTCTTCTTGAAACATATTTTTCAATGTCTAGTCTTTCTCATTATAACTGCTGCTAGAATTATACCGACTTCATTATTTTTATTTGTAAGTGGTAGTCATCTATCTGGATTTATTTATCACTAATATCAAAAGGAACAGTTATTTAATTCGATAACTTGTAACTCATTCTGATTCGCTTACTGCGAAGCTCTTTTCTCCACCTCTTTCTTTCTCTCCCTACTTAGTTCACTACAATCAATCTAGTATATTTGAACTAGGCTGATTACAATTTCTATACCATTTTATTTTTTGATTGAACCGATAAATGTTAGATCACCGTTGAAAACCTGAAAGAACTGAACGGTCGTTTCGTCCTATTGTGGGACTCCTCAGAAGTGCGTATGCACGATCCTGCTAGCGGGATTCGAACCCAGGGCCTCGTGCGCGAATGCTTAACCTTTAGACCCTGAGCTGGCATCCAACGGGGTTAGTGCCTAACCATTTTGAGTGCTGTTAGAGGTATGAGGGCGGTTATCCGTTCCCGGTTGCTCACACCGTGGAAGGGTTCTTCTGGAGGTACCTGGGAAGGAAATTAGATTAGAGGTGGTCTTAGTGACTTGAGAGCGTGACCGCAGTGCCCAAGAGACAACTGCTTGAGGTTGGTCACACACGACCTTTTTGTGAGTAGTTTTCGTGTTAGCTCCGTACTTGTTGAGACCTTGTCATTGAAGATGGATATCCCTGGGATAAGGCGAGGTGTGTATTTTTACGGTCGACCATTTTTAACCCCACTACTCTTCGTGGGAAAGCAGCATCGCTGTCATGCTGGTTGTCTGAAGGAAACATTTATTTATTTTAACACATAGATATTGGCACAAGGATGCACCAAATACATATGCGCCACACAGATCTCATTTGAAGGAAACACCTTACTGCTGTCACACCTCTGTAAAGTCAGCAGTACGACTTCGCCTCCGAACCTTGAATTTGTTGCTTTTAGTCTTACCGCTCTTCAACCGACCTGTGTGGCATGGTAGGACCTTGAGGAACGGTTGTTCCAGCCAGTATAGCTCGGTTGCTTCATCACGATAGGCAAGCCCGACCACCACGTCAAGGTAGTAACAACGGTCGCGCTAACCATTCTAATTATGTCACTTCCAATCTTAAACTAATCCTAATAAAATCATATTAAGCAATGATGGGTAGTGGCCAGCAGTGGAATCCAAGACGCAAGTTTCGTCCTATTTAGGACTCGTCAGTTGGATGCTTGTGAATTAAGGCAATATCGAGGCAATACGCACAGTATGCACAGGTACCAATAAGAGACTGATCAACTGCAGTCTTAAACTTCAATGGAAAGATTCAAGTAAACAATACCAAGTGAGAATTATGATATGTATATAAAATGGATAACGATAATAATAACATAACTTACGTTGATATTAAATATTGATCTCTAGTGAATGAATGAGCAAACTTTTGTACAATTAAATCTTCAGTATCCAGATTTGATATAGAACACATTTCATTATCATAGGCATCAAAGAATGAATCAAGGAATTGTATTATTTTTTCAAAACTTTGAGAATAAATTCCAAGTGAAAATTTTCTTATAAATAAACCTACAGAAAAAAGATTAGGTGGTTTTTATTTTTAATAATATTTATGTAAACACTAACTCTTTTTTCTTGTACTAGGTCCTTATATGCAATTTTTCTTTTATAGATTACCACCAATGAATCAACTACTACTTCTATGAATTCGGTGTTCATCTTCTTATGCTAATGAAGTATGGCAACTTGGATCGATGAATATATATGCTTGATCTTACGTTGTAACTAATTGAATGGTACAAAGGAGCACCGAATACATATTGCCATACAAGTTACTTGATTTGTGAGTAGGCTGTGATATTGCCCAAGTGCCTAGACAGATATCGTTAAAATGAAATAGTAGCCTAGGTGAATTTAAACCAATTCAATACAAATACAGGGAGAATTGTCATTAATAATCCTTGTTACCTTGTTCTGTTATTTACATAGAAAATGAAAAAATGTAACTACTCCTATTGGTTTTGATCTGAAACTATATTTTCCCACAAGCTACCGATGTCAAAATTCATCGATTGGTTTATATGGAGTACTTATACAATTTAGGTGTCTAGATTGGAGATAAAATAGGTTTCAATTTATGGTTCAACAAAACTACAAAACACTAGGAATATCTATTTTGTTACGATGCCGCAACTAGTCTGAGTACTTGATAATCCGTAAAATGAGTAGAAAATAGTTACAATATGGTATGAAGCTTTTGAGTGAGGGATACGTGTATCAAACTAGCATGTGTTGAATTATCACAACTTAAAATGGCTCCAACAGACGGTAAAAACCACTGACTTAAGACTGTCGTGAACGACTCAAAATCAAAACTAGTAGCAATACCACTGTAGCTTTTTAAATCCAAAATAGACAGTAAGATATCCTTTTGGAAGAATAAAGACCACCTCAGTTCTGCTGTCATCTGGAATGTGTTACCTATATCCTCTCTCATTATTCATTTCACAAAACTAGCATCTCTTGTATGGTAAATTCATTGAGTCACTCAGTCACAACACAGTACCTGGTACGTTCAATTTGCTACACACCATTAGAACAGAGATGAGACTGACAGGCCAAGTCCCAGAATAGCAGAGGTAGTAACGGTATCACTGGTCACGAAAAAGATTAGGTATCGAAGATACGACTAAAAAAACACAAATTAGTGAAACTAAAGTTGTGAGGAATTTAGTATCGGGATTTAGGGAAAACAAAGGGTGGATGCACCTCTGCCGTTGCAAACGATTTCTAGCCATGTCAATTAAAGTCTCTAAGTAATGGTTACGATAAACACGCGGACCCCAACTAAGTAGTATGTACCTACTAACATAGCTAAGTCCAACTGTCAGTGACTTCATAGACTGATGCCATGTTTTGGTTTGACCACCCCTAGCTTTCTTACAACCTACTCCTATACCAGAAAACATCGCCCATCAAGCTAGGCGATGGTTGTGAAAACGTAACACATGTCTCGACCACCTCAGTTCATGGAGATTTGCTCTATTCCTAACCTAGGCATTGCTTACTCCGTGGTTCAAAGATACACGACCAATGCTTTAAAGACACCTTTAATCGAATACCAGTAACCTACGAATATCTTTATTCTCAATGACCATGCTCGGTAGAATGGAGAGGATTGCTGAGCAGTACACACCCTTTGGTTGACAGACAGATATCTCGCCTGCTCCACAAGTGACGCGGGTTGCAAATGCCAATACAGCCTTCCGAATCCGTGCCGAGATTCCGTCAGATACCAAACCATTAGGACTAATGAAACACAAGATAGATGAAGTGGTCTATGCGTTCAATTACTTCATTTCCTATCACTAATTCAGGCAATGACACAAACCAATCTTGAAGTAAAATTTTACATCTGGGAAAGAGAAACGGAAAACTGTATTTTGTCAGCGTCTTCACCAAACACAACTATATCATCTGCGTGTTCTAGTCAACAAATGAACTTCCAGGAAGATCAATCCCTGAAAAGTCAGACAATGAAAGTGTTGTCTCCAAAAGCATGTTTATGACAAAGTTAAATAAAAACGGGAAAAGCGGACAACCCTGAAGAACGCCACTTCAAGTAACCAATTCCTATGAAAGTTCCCCATACATTATGACTCAACTAGTAATGTTCGAGTAGAGAAAATGTAAAGGGTTAACGTACATTTTATACGCTTTCCAATGACAGACAGTTCCACAGAACCTCACGTTCAACTGAGTCGGGAGGCTTTAAAGTCAAAGGATAAAACTATAATCGGACGTCGAAATCCTAACCGTAACTGCTACCTCGGCGGAAGGGAGAGGTCAAAAAAGGTCAATCATAAATATGCCACACCTCACATTACCCTAAAGATTATCGTCTCCGGCGCCAAGGTCTTTTGAAGTGCGGAGCTAACATACCAAAAGCTTTCCATAATAAAGCCTTGTGCGAACGGCCTCAAGCAATGCTCCCATGGGCTTTGAGACCACACTCCCAGATTGCTAAGACTAGAACTACTTCAACTTCTTTTTCAAGTTACTCAAGAAAAAATCCTTTTACAGTATGGAGAACCAGTATGTGACCATTTCTGACCCCTTCTTTCTGTTGTGAAAAGGCAGAATCGCTGCAGATGCTGGTTGTTCGCGAGAAACACTTTATTGTTGTCATGCCCTATTACAGTTTTCAGTACGACTATGCCCTCAGACCTTAAATTGCTGCTTTCAGCCTTACAGTTCTCCAAACAACCTGGTAGGATCTAAAGGAACATATGTTCCAACCAATGCGGCTCCGTCGAGTGATAACGATAGGCAAATTCAACCACCACGTCGAGGTGGCAGCTTCGGTCAGAATGGTTTGTCGTGTCAGTAATTATCGCTTTATAGATAAAACAAACAACAAAATTAGTTTTTCTTGATTAATACCATAACTTTCATGCAAATGATTATATGCTAGCTCTACTCACTGCCTTCTCGTGGCGGGGGTGCTGTTTACGAAACTGAGAGGATGAAAAACGAATTTCCGGAGCTTTAACCGGATTGGTGGACATGGAGAGTCCATCTAGGGGAGTTGGAAAACCCTCATTCCAAACCAACGGTGCACATAGGCTCCAGGATCCTGAAGGAACAAATGGCGTATGAAACAATCGTTGGTCACGGGCTACCATGGGAATGCATCTTCTTACGATGCTCCACTGCCCTATGGATCAGGCCTTCAGGTCGAAGGCTCCGGAGTGTGGCCCCCTAAGAAAACCACCTGCTTCCGGTTTGGGCACCCGGGTAGTATCACAGACCTCACACATACCAAATGAGATTTGTGTGGCGCATATGTATTTGGTGCCTCCTTGTACCAATATCTATGTGTTAAAATAATAATAAAGCTCTAATACGAATCAATCACTACTTAATATTTGACATTTAACAAATTTTAAAACGATGTATCGTAAAATATCACTTGGCTTACCGAAAACGCTGTCTTTAGTCAAAAGAAATCTTCTTCTATTACTATTTTGACTAACATCACCTCCGCCATCACCACTTTCTTCATCGTCATCGTCATCAATTTCATTGCCAACATTCAATGATTTCGCAAAGATTAGATTTTTAAATGTCGACAAATTTGTGTACGCAACAGCCTCGTAGTAATTGCGTAGTCTTTCAATTCTAATCAATTATACAGTTTTTTAATCATAAAAATATGATTATATATATTTACCGGCCTCGAATCAATGATTTTAAATACGCAGGAATACGTGCACTTTGCGAATTGCATTTCAATATGTCAAATGGATTACCTATATTTTCCTCAAAAGAAGCCTATTACAATAACAATCAACTAACCTTCAACATTTCATACATTAGCATATACAAATTGATTGTATCTTTTGAATTACTATACTGTATTTGGTCCTCAGAGTTATCTGACATCATTAATGAACAGATATATTCACGTAAGATGATGAATAACATAAAGCTGTTGTGTGTAACACTATCAATGAAATAACTTTCACCACCAATCTTCTGGTAGAATATCATTTTATCAATATGTAAATTGGCTATGTTATCTGAAGAATTAACAGAACTTCATGTTAACAAAGTGCCCTATAAAGGATAGGATATGAAGAAAAAAATAAGGCTATAGGCAAAGACAATCAGTGAATTACTGTTCATAATTACTTTGTTAAATAACTGTGAAACTAGGTTACTAATTTAAGTGTACTCAATAAGACTGAAGAAGGCTTGACCAACTAAATACAGCATTCAGCGGACAACACTGGTATACAATCCACTAACTCTTATACAGAACATTTGAATGATCTGACAAATTAAACTTTCTGACGTTTAGTGAATATTCGTACTGAGATTAGCCTTCAGAAAATAGGGTCTTTTTCATGCATACAGTAAATTTAATGTGAAGTTGGGAATTATAATTTCTCAGGCAAAAGCTGAACGCTACTTGTTATATGGAAATATCGCATTAACCTGTTTGAGCACAAACTTATAACAAAAATTACAAGCTTTATTTATTGTAAAGATGTATTGAAGTAAAATATTCCTACAGAAATACTGAAACTATCTTCAGTTTATCGTACATAAAATATTCCTTGGCTATTTGGATATACTAACAATCATACCTACAAAGATGAATGCCTTGATAAAGAAGTATATGCATGATGTACACAAGATGTTATGTAAGGAGGCAAATCTTTACTTTAAAACAAACGTGACGATGGAAGTGGTCCATGAGACGTAAAATAAATGCTTCTACCAACTCGAAGTACAATCCTACTAGGTTTAGGTGGATTTTAACAATAGGTTGGCAGTTAACTGCCTAGCGAACTCCCTCAGTTCAATGTAAAAACTGACTTACATGAGGCGGATATATAGCGCAAAATAAAAACGAACGAACTACCAAAGACCCAACACCACATGCTGTAAAGTAACTTTAAATGGCATCATAAGAACTTTAATATACAACTTCGCAAAACTCACGCAACCTATTTAACCCCGTCACCAGAACACGCACTAATCTCTCTATTTATGAGAAAACCGTCATTTCGGGGGAGCCGCTCAGAAAATCTTGAGGAAATGGCACAAAACCCCAAAAATTTCATCAGAATCGAGATATTGGGATTACGACGAGACCTATAATTTATGTACGGACCAATCACGTGTAACATAACAGGTCTTGCATTTTGGCGCGAAATTCACACATTCCTACGGATAAATAGGATGAATATCATCAGGACCACTGGACCTATCAGGTTTGAGATGCTGAAGTAGCCTTAAAACTGTATCTTTCACAATGACTACCGGATGCATCAGCGAGCCGTCACGGTCGCGATGAATCGTTGGTCGTTCCTCATTACCGATAGAAAACACTTTACTAAAATATTCCGATAAAGCTTCAGCTTTTTCGGCATCATTCTCTGCTAAGATTAACGGATTATCTCGTATCGAAAGTGATGGAATTCCATCGCTTCTCTTAGTTCGCCTTTTTATATACGAGAATAACCGTTTCGGACTATATCTAGAATCCCTAACCAATTGTTTTTCGTATGATAGTTTAGTCTTGCTTATTAACGCTTTACAGGCATTCCTAATCTTACAATAACTGGATCTGTATTGTTCTAAGCCAGTAGAGATGAACATATTCCTGTGGTTTTTTCCTTTGTCTAAGGAGTTTCCTGACCGTTTTAGTTATCCATGGTGGACTGTTATTCGGTTTTCGCGGTACCAGGTATGGTATGAACGGGGACGTAACTATTTTAAATTTACCTTTAAATATAGACCACGCTTCTTCAACTGATATGCTAGTATCTACTAACCAATCTGTCTTAGCAGCGCATTCCTGAATGGCTGATATGTTAGCTTTCCATACATTTGGGCGAGGTATAACCTGATCGTATAACATGTCCCTAGTTCTAAACGCGAATGACAAAACAGCGCAATCGCTGTTCACTAACGGTGGGAGAATATTTAAGTCGGCAATATCCTCAGCCTTATGAGTGATTACCAAGTCCAGCAGAGAAGAACCCTGGTTAACACCAAAACGCATGGGTTGGGATACATGCTGCACTAGGGCATGCTCCATTATAGTTACCAGGAACCTACTACCAGAGACGTTTATAGATCCTTCTGTGGTCATATCAGTCCAACTAATATCAAGTGCTTTAAAGTCTCCTATTATCAAGCATCTAGTATTTTCACTCCAAAGATGAATGTGCTCTAAAATAAAGTCACCAGTTAAGCAGATTCGGCATCGCTCAGAGGTCGTCTAATAATAATAGTCTCACTGTCTATCCAGCTGGTGACAAGTCAGAAAACAGCCTCCGTGAATAGACAGTTTAGAGTTAGGATTCAGGTGCTGCAAGTAAACATTTAAGACGTTTTCAGTGCTACAAAGAGGTTTTCCCAGAGCTCCATATATACGTAACTCTTGAAATTCGCACTAAAGTTTAAGCGTTGCATCTTGAGTTATGGTTTGCTTGCACTTTGCTATGTACTCATCACGAAAACCAGGCAACAGTAACGCACAAAACAAATAGCCCTCAATAAATATTTGTTATTCAACGTCTTCAGCCTCAGTAATAAGGATAGTAGGTTGATGAACCTGTGTTAATCCTGACACATTGCTTTCCAGTGAAGGTCCAGCTTTTCCTTGAAAGTATTCACTGATGGGGCTGATACCACTTGTTCGGGTAAGGCGTTCCAATCATTGACTACTCGATGAGAAAAACGGGATCCCACTTTAAGTTTATTAGATCGTGGTTTATGAACCTTCTTGCTATGACCTCGGAGATTATTAGTGCTGGAGGGAGCAAAAAGATAAGACATATTAACACCCAAATCATAATTAAAGATACGAAATGCCAGTATAAGGTCACCTCGTGTCCTACGATACGACAAGGGGAAAAGATTTAGGCGTTTTAAGCGCTCATCGTAAGGGAGTCTAGAAAGACCCTTCACTAATTTCGTTCCCACACGCTGGACACGCTCAAGGGAGTTAGTATCCTTTACCAGACACGGGCTAGCTGCTTGGATACAGTACTCTAAATGTGGTCTAACATATATGGGATATAAAATTCGAAACGTTTCCTCGTCAAAAGATTTGAACGCTCGGCGAAGTGACCATAACGCACGAAAACCTTTGACAGCGGCTGCTTTGCAATGCGCAGTTGTTTTTAAGTCATGACTTAATATTACTCCTAAGTCCTTATGCTCTTGAACGCATGGAAGAGGTTTACCCTCAATAGTGTAACGGTAACTATTACCGTGACCGATGTGCATTAGTACACTCTTCCTAGCATTGATTTCTAAGCCCCACTCTCGAGCCCATCTAACTAAATCGTCTAAATCAGCTTGAAGATCCACATGATCAGCCGCACTTTTTATTGTTCTCCAGATTTTTACATCATCTGCAAACAATAATGTCGACGACCTAAGTAACAGTGGTAACTCATTAACGTAGAGAAGGAAGAGCAGAGGGCCTAAGATGGTGCCTTGGGGTACACCACTTTTGACCGGCTTCCAATCGGATAGCGTTCCATTGACCCTAACTCTCTGTCTGCGGTCACATAAGAAATTTCCTATCCACTCATGTACAGTACCTATTATTCCGAAGCTCGTGAGCTTCTGCATAAGACCTACGTGTGAAACCTTGTCAAACGCTTTGCTAAAATCTATGAATATCACGTCGACAATCCTCCCTCGCAATAAGCAAGTTAGTCAAGCATGAACGCTTGTTACGAAATCCGTGTTGCTCAGGAGCTAACAGATTGTGTAAATCTATGTGGCTTAGCAACCTAACCCGAATTATCTTTTCAAGTAACTTAACGACTATGCTAGTTAGACTGACAGGCCGGTAGTTAGATACTATCTGTCGCTGACCGTCCTTAAATATAGGACTAACTATAGCGTCCTTCCAATCTCTAGGGAGTTGACGAGTGAGAGGGACATGTTGAAGAGTGTCGCAAGCGGTTTCGAAATAATGTCCGCAAGAGATGACAGCAACCGTGGATGTAACCCGTCAGGGCCCGGTATCTTACCAGGTTTGAGGTTAGTTATCAACGGAAGGACAGTTTCCTCAGTCACCTGTACGGATTCAATGGTTGGTATCTCGGTGTGAGTGGGACAAGTATTTGTTACAATAAACGTAGAGAAGACTTCGCTAAAATAATCTGAAAATGTCTCAGCTTTTGTTCGATCTGATTCAGATACAAATCGTGTACCATGTGTCCTAAACTTAAAGTGAATTACAACGTGATCACTGTTCACTAGTGGAGGAAGGTGCTGGATATCAAAGACATCCTCAGAGTGGTGGGTGAGGGCGAGGTCCAGCAGTGACGGATCATGATTCAAATCAATATGTGTCGGTTTTGTGATACATTGTACAAGTGCACACTGAATAACGGTAGATAAAAGGTCGCTATCGAAACCGCTACCTGGAGCTGTAAGCTCTATCCAGTTGATATGCGGTGCGTTGAAGTCCCCAATGATGAGACAACATTCTGCCATACTCCAAGAACAGATGTGTCTTAGGATAAAGTCGTCAGCCAGACAAGACGGACTACGGTATATTCCCCCTATAGTCACTAACCCATTTCTAGATTTAATCTTACAACATGCAACCTCACATGTGCCACTGATATGAGCCTCCGATATGGTTGATTGTATACGAAAGTGATCCCTAACGTATAATATTATACCTCCCCCTTGCGACTTGAAACTCTATCACTTCTGATACAGATATAACCAGCAATGAAAGGAGAACAGTCTATATCAACGGTGAACCAAGTTTCTGTAACAACGATTATATCGGGACATAATTCTTGCACCATCAGACTTAGCTCGGACGTTTTATTTCTAAGACTACGAGCGTTCGTGTAGCACACACTTAAGGTGTTTTGGAAATCAATCGTTCTACCCATACAGGCCTCGGAAGCATTGGCTTCCAAGACCTGACTACCCGAAAACCCTTAATGGTAAGGTTATTTTCGCCATTTAATTTGCGAGTCCTCAACTCCGTAAGAGCA